AGGTCTGATGGGAGCCACCCTCTTTTCAAGTGACAGATAATGAGGAAAGGCACTTCAGATTTGTGCTTTTCATCACCAACATACTCAGCTTAATCTGACACCTCACAGGACCCATCAGAGAGGGAGCACCACAGAAAGCCATGCAGAACAGGCACCCAAACTGGTTACAGTTCTGTGCAAGGGCTGAAAACTCAGATCCGAGGGCAGCAGTCACAGCAGGTGGCACCCAGGTACCCATCACAGAGAAATGCATCTGTGTTCAATCCCATACCTGTGGGAAATTGGTGACACTTACCCTGCTGACAAGCTTTGGGATACTTGATGTAAGATACAGATTTTGTACACAAGGACCACACAGTTATCCGCAGCTGTTGAGAAAGACAAGGAAGTATTTGCTTGTTTTTGTAGATTAAAAAGAGTTGGTACACAGCCCCCAACCCCAAAACCTCGATCAACAACGCAGAGTAGATTCAATGCATGGTTTAGTTCAGTTTTGCAGTTATTCTGCATAGCACAAAGCTGTAAGAAAATCTGGAAGGAATTCTTTCTGCACTCTCTTCAGTGAGCAAGGATACTTATTTCTAATTAATATTAAAGGTACAGAATGCTCCCAGAGGTACAGGAGCAGAACACCAGGATGGACCAGTAGGAGCTATTGGGAATAGGTGAACGGTTGGACTGGGTGATCTTTTAGGTCTTTTCCAACCTTGGTGATTCTATGATTCTATGACAGCAGCACTTCACTGATACTGAAGATGGAGATGCACTCAGTGTGAGCTGGGTTCATGCTCATAACATGTTGCCAATATCCTTTTCAGCTGGAAAAATAATTTCATCACAAAACATGGGAAAGAGATGAGAAATCACTGCAACTCAAGAACGCTGTATCTTAAGCTACTAAGTATGAAACCAGATCTGTTTATTAACTCCTAACCACACGCTCAGCTGTGATGCCGATTTGCACTTTGTTCTTCCTTCCTCAGCCACCCACAAGAAGGCAACGTTTCAGAACTGAGAGAATTAGAATTGAAAGACAAGCAAAAGCAAGGCATTAAGCGCCGTATCTGCGGTATTTCTGGAGCCTGGTGCACCCACAGAACATGAAAACTGCAAAGAAGGCAGTCAGCTGCAAAACAAGCCCCTTCACAGCTCGTCAAGGTCACAGCCTGCATTCTGGAAGCTCTGCGTTGCCATCTGCAGATTATTCAATTAAAAACAAATACTTACTCTCCCTTAGCAACGGCAGCCACACCAGACATATGTGCATTAATCAGTATGTCATGCGAACCTTTGCATTTATATCTGGAGCAAGGAATGTTTCCAGGGTATGCTTTTCATCCCATGTTTTCCTGTATTTTTATTGCACCAAGGTAAGAGATTCTAGATAAGACACAGGTAAAACTATTTTTGCAATTAAGATCCATGGGCACAAAACCATCCTTCCCAAGTCCACTGAACAACAACATCAGTTCTGATTCACTTACATAAATATAACTTTAGCACCATCTACCATTCAATCACCCACCTGCATCCAATGCAGACCAATTACCAGCAGCGGTGGGAAAAAGTTTCTGTTGCTCTTTTTCTTGTGTTTGTCCTCAATAAACATTCTCCTTTCTCTGAAGCAACTGGTACAATTCAGTGGTGAGAAATGGCCCCAAGGAAGCATCCTGTGTGTTTGTTCTTACCTGGTAACACCAGAGCCTGTGCACTGCAGTGGACCTTAGAGGCTTTTCTACTGCTGACATGAATCATGCTTTGATGCTGTGTATAAACCAAGCTACAGATTCCTAACACTGCCTCTCTCCAGAAATGTGAAGAGCAAAAGAGCATCATTAGCTGTTTCTACTAATTTTTAATACATAGTGAAGAAACTTATGAGACTTGAAAAGACCACACACAAAACTGCTGTTTTAAAACGTAACAGGGAAGAGCAACAACCATATCAGATTTCAGTCGTCTCAAGTCCAAAGTTTTAAAAAGCACAATTGCACTACTGTTTAATGCTGCCTTTATTCTCTCTTCCTTTATTTAACAGCTATGAAATTACAGCTAGACATCTGTAGTGCCACCTTAAAGTTTAAGGGATCCCAGTGGAATCTGCAAGATGAACACCATTAATCAAGTTTTATCACCACAACTGCTCACTTCCGGACATACAAAAATACAGCATTGTTAGTCTGCTCCTCATGCAAGATTTACTTTAAAAATACCAACACAATGCCTACTCACATTCTTCTATAGCAACTGCAATAGTGATATGCTGCTCGCTCCTATTAATTGCAGTGTTAAATGCACTTGCTGCTGTTCCTCCCTTGACCAAAACAAGCAGCACACACAACACACATTCTACAGCCACTTAATACAAGCTTAGCAGCTGCAAGCTTTGAATGCTGAGGTCTGGATCGTCATTTTTCCTGACAAAGGCATCCAAGTTCACACTTGTGTTACCACTTGGCTCCAGCCAACTCACCTGGCCTGCTGTGTGTCACACGCATTGCTACTGCAGACCAAACAGACTGGCTCCAAGGCTTAGAAAAGGCAAAGCCTTACTGCTGGAGCACACAGGAAGAGGGGAATCTCTCAGGGAGAAGCAGCTCAGGGCGTGCAGAGCTCCTACTGTTACCTCTGCCTTGCCTGAGGCTCAAACAATTCAGCTGGGAGTTCTACTATAACTTCATCACGACCTCCTGTCCATGCCACACAGCACAACCTAAAAAGTCTGGGACTGGTATTAGAAACCTATGAGAGCAGAGTGTTTTGATCTCTACATTCAGAGATTCTTTTCAGTTTTTCCAATTCATCTCCAGCAAGAAAGTTTCCCTAAACTGGAAGCTACAGCATCTACTTCATCTGTGCCCTCAGACCTGCCTTACACAGGCTAACAATGCTTACAATTAAACATGAGGAAAGAGGGAAACCCTTCACCTTCTCAGATGGAACTGAAAAATGATTCCACAATCCTACCCAAGCTGCCAGTGAAACCTGGCCTAAGGAGGATTATTTCACAGCCAGCAGAGATAATTGAGAGACAGAAACAAAATGCAGAGGATGAAAAAAGAAAGCAAAAAAAGCTTTAGAAAAAGCACAATAAACTGTGCTGTTCCTATTTACTTTTTTTCAGAGTTTGTGGGGAAGGAACAACAGCTTTCACAGCAGAACAGCTTGTGGTCGGGTCAGAGCACGGCAGGCATTTCTTACTGCCCGTTTTGAGGGTACTTTCTCTTTCCTTACCACAAGTTTCCAGATTAACTGGAGTTGTCAAACCCCAAATCCTAACAATAATGGTGTCTGAGAAGTTTTCAGCTGTTGTTTTGCAGTGGAAAAAAAAAAAACCAAACCAAAAGCAGAAGCATTTTTAAAATAGCCTAAAAACAGCTGAGGAAAAAAAAGCATTTAGATGGTAACGTGATAAACAGTCTGCAGTGCTGGGTTCAGGACTACGACCAGTGTTGACAGCTATAGGCAGGTGTAAGACTGGTGATTTTCAATAGATAAAAACACACTTTTAAACAACCTTGCATCTCAAATGACTGTCAACTTTTGTCCCAGACTTGACTGGGTCACAAAGCCTCCTTACATAGCACTGTCTGTCAGCACCGGATTTCAGAAGATTATTCAGAGCGCATTCCTCGACAGAAAGCATTTTTCAACCAGCGCAGCCATTTACAGTTACTAAGGATTAGCTCCAATATACACAGAAACACACACAATTTTTTTCTCCCACTGTAGCTCCAAGGAAGCTTCTTAATGCTTCAGTACTGAAGTGGAACTCAAGAAACTACAATACGTGAAATTCCAAAGCACAGGTCTTAAGAGAAATGCTCCAGAACAATGCAGATGATCTCCAACCAGCTACCACAAAACTTCCAAGCCTGGAATAAGTTCCATTTGCTTTCCCTGTGTCTTTTATCTGCAGCTCTTGTTTAAACTCTACATGCCTGTCATCCCAAACTTTGTGTGGGAAAGAGGAACCATACCTGGAATGACATCTGATAGGACAGGACAAACTGATAACATGGACTCCTCCAGCAAGCAGCCTGCTGTGCTAGATACACTGCAGAGTGTTTTCAGCAGAGGAAGCACCTGCTACAAAATGCAGTAGCAAACAACAGCTATGGGACAAACTGCTTTCCAGGGCACTACACAAATCAACAGCACTGACATCATGCTCCAACTTTCTCAGATTCCAGACTTCTGTGAGGGAAAGAACAGAGCCTGTGTATGCTTCTGGTCATCAGACCACACCACTGAGCTCTGCCTTATGTACCATACTGTTTGCTGGGGTGTTTATGTAAAGGTTTAGATGGTTATCTGTACCATTCTACATTCCTGCACCCCGTGTAATAATGTTAGGACTCACGAGACCTACACAGTGATACAGAATTGTCTGCAGCAAGATGACCACATCTGCATATTTACACTAACATTAGAAATTAAATACCCTGGGAGCATCACTGCTCATCTCAAAAGACAGCCGAGTCAAAATGGATTTCAGAACACGTCAGAATTCTCATGCACTCCTCTTCAGTTAGAAACTGCACATGATGTGACTGGTGGTCACATTAAAAAGAGAAAAGATAACAGCACTCACTATAGATGTTATGTAAAAATGTAAAGATGTTACTGCAAAAAAAAATCTGACTGCAAGTCACCCAATGAATACGTTCCCTGTTGCACTAATAAGCAAGGATTGCTAGAAATAAATTAGCATAACCATATGCTTAAAGAAGTCTCTAGTAGAAATGACTTCAATTTGCAAGCTTACAATGGAGCTCATATGTTAACTTGAAGAATTACAAGTATGAGTGATTAGTTGGTGCTGTTTGAAAATGTCAAGCTACCAAAGCCAAACTGCACTGGTTGACAGGGAACCAGAAGCCCCCCCAGGCAATCCCTGAAGTTCATAGCACACATAATACACCAATATTAAGTATCTTGACAGTTTCTGTCTCAAGCCCTGCTAACGCCTGTCCCAGCAGACCATGGATTTACATGCTATAGAGTAAACACAACTCAGACACCGGCATTACCCAGGCAGCTGTCTGACAAAGCTAATTTAGCAACCTGTTTACAGCTGGAAAGAAAACTTATCCCAACACAGATGCCAACTTGGCAAAGGCTTAATGAAATCCTTTAAGGTCAAACCAAGTTCTGTTGGGAGGTAATAAATACTTGCTGGTCCACCCCCACATGAATGTGCCATAAGAAATTCATTCGTAGCACATAACACCAGGCTTCAGTTTGGGTTACAGGGACAACACCACTCCTGCCTGACTGTCAGGCATGTCTTCAATGACTTAGAGTTGTAGCTCTGGACTCACGTTTATTTTACTCACTACCAAGGTGATTGCTGCTGGAGAAACTCAGGTTTAAATGAATCACTCCACAAAATCCACAATGTAAGAAGTTGAGGGGAAGTGGAAGGAGACTGTTTGACAGGCAGAAAATCCCTACCTCAGCCAGCACTGAAAATCCTTGCCAGGGAATTCCACCCTGTATGCATATTTCCACACAGGTTCCCTTGAGAGCATCAGTTTTTACACTAACTCCAGTATGCACACAGATAACAAGCCCCCCACCTGCATCCCACTGATTGATATTTGGATGGAAATCTTGCTGTGTAACATCCAAACTCAGGGCAACAATGCATCATTTCAAAATCCAACTAGTCAGATATATTAAACAGAAAAATTTCTCACATGTGGTTCCCAGCTATTTTCTGGCCATTCGATGTACTGAATTGCATCAATCATCAGCTAAAAAGGTGGAGAGTCAGACTTCCACATGCCTTCCAACGTGTCCTCAGTGTACAGCATACAGAGTGATCTGGGCTCTACACCTTAGTGCAGATTCCAGAACACAGGTTTTAATTCAAATTTCACAAGTGCTTCTACCAGCAGCCATCTGACTACTGTTTGTCACATCAAGCACTTCTGTAAGCATTTCCCAGTTAACCTAAGACTATGGTTTTTTTTAATTCAAAAGCCATTCGTGGATGTTTGTAGATCTCCCTGAACTACCAACATATTTGGTTACCAAAACTGCTTTCATAAATGAATGTTATTCCTACAGTTAAGCACACAATTTTATCTAAGTTAAGAGTCCATTTTCTATCTTACCAAAACTCCAGAGAATGAAACGTTAACACAGTAACATCTGAACTGGAACTAATGTAGTTTACATCTGGGAATACAGGAAAACTGTTCTTTACCACCACTACAGCTTTAAGAACTCCAGGTTATTTTAAGAGGCAAAGGGCAGACAGTAACATCTGATACCATGGAGAGTAATCATGACTTCACACTTACATGAAACTCCGTTGTATTGAGAATGTGACGACCATCCGGACTCCAACATGAAGCCACCAATCCTGCTGACCCTTCATCTATCTTGCAGTGCCAGTCTGGCTGCTCCAAGGACCAGACCTACATCAGGAAGGAAGGAAAACAAGCAGGCACCAAACAAACAGCTCATCAAAACCTCTCCTTACAAGAATACGCTTCAGCTGAGAAAAAGCTCCTGCATCACCAACCAGAGAGGGCAAGAAACCTCCAAGCCGTGGCCATGAAGGACTGGCGTTGGATTCCGCTACAAAAGTAAGCCTCACAGCTCTGTGTGTTAATAGAAATCATAAAATAAGCAAAAATATTTGACAAATACTCTGAGTATATCCAGCAATTGAAAAAAAAAAAAACCATGCTTTAGACCATTTGGCAAGTTTGCATGTATTTGTTTCCTGCTGAAATAAGAAAATTCTAAGATCCTTTCTAGTTTTGGTTTAAATTAGTTTACTTTGTATTTTCATTCTAAGTCCGTTTTGAAACTAAGAGGTAGGTCACAGCTTTATAAGTCATAGCATGCTGCACTACATATCATCAATAACATTTTCCATTACTTTAGCAAAAGCATTGAACTGGTGACTGCTGTTCACACTCACCACACACACAAGTCTACCACAGGACTCTGGGTCCTTACCTGAACAATCCCTCGCTTGTACATGGCACACAATATGAAAAGAGAATCAGACGACCATTCTATGTACTGAATCTGGTCCAGGCAAGTGTACAGCTGAAGGATCTGGAGGGTATTCACATCCCGAATGATCAGCCGGTACTGCACACAGGAAGCCTGAGCACAAGCAGGAACACAGCTGGGTTGGTGCATCAGCCCCGGACCTGAGAAGCTCATGTGCTGCACCCCACAGCGCTGTACTGGGCAGCATTCACCCTTAGAAAGGCTTCACACGAGCTGTGCTCTAACACAAACAGTGGCTTAAGCCAGTAGGGGGGCCTATAGTCATTTAAAACCCGAGCTCATTAGTTGTGTGGCTGCTTGCTAGGCACGACTAAGCCTACTCCTCCAAAACACGATTCCTCGTCCCATCGGAACGCCATTAACCTTTTAAGCGGCGGTAACTGAGCGCTGTGCTGACCGCAGCCCGCGCCGTTACAACCGACAGGACGGACCGACCGACCCGCACGGCTCTCTGCAGGCCCGTAGCCGTGCGGCACAGCCGCTCTCCTTGTTAACCCCCACGGGAACGGCACCGCACCGCCCGGAGCCCGTCCCAAGGGGAGGAACCGAGGCCCGCTCCCGGCCCAGCTCCCGGCCGCCACCACGCGGACCACGGGCGACCACCGCCCGGTAACGCCCGGCTCCACCTCAAGGCCCCGTCCCGCCCCTCAGCCCCGCTCTCACCAAGCACTTCCCGTCGGGGGAGAACCTGCCGAGCAGCCCGGAGAGCTTGAACAGCTCCGAGAAGTCCATGGCACCGCCCGGACCGGCACCGGGAGCAGCACCCATTCAAACCCGCCCGCTTCGCCCGCCGCGCCCTGGCCCACACCTTAGGGCGGAAGCGGGCGGAAAGGGCGGGAGCTTCCGGTCTGGATAGCCAATCGGGGCAGGGGGTGCCGCGCGGCATGCCGGGGGTCGTAGTCCGGGCGGCGCGGGCCGTTTCTCTGTCAGGGAGCGCCCGGCGGCGGGAAGTCCCCGCGAGTGAGCAATTATTATGCAAATGAGCTGCGTAATGACAGCGGCGCGTTCCCAGCGCGGGCTCCGCGCCCTGCAGCCCGCCAAAGTCACCGGCGCCGTTCCCTCATTAGCGGACTTCCCTCTAATTTGGCTGTCAGACGATTCGGGTCGGCAGCGTGCCGCGGCCTGCTCCAGGTCACACTTCCCGCTTCACGGCTAATTGCTGATGGAAATGAAAGGCCGAGAGCTGCAGATGAGGCGCACCGGTACAGGGAGGGCGTAGAAATAAAAGATCCTAAAGCTTGATGAGAGAAAGAGCCACGAAGGGTTTTGGGGGGTGAAGGGGGGGGGAGCAGCCCGGACCTGCTGCTCTGCCCCGGTGTGTGAGGCACTGCCGTAACCCCACCCAGGATGTGCCCACAGTGACAGCCAGCATCGGGATTTGTTATGGGAAGTGGAGGCTGGAGCTAAGCTTGGCTGAAGCAAACCTTGAGCTTGTGGAAACGCTGTCAGCAGACATTGGTGAGTGCGGAGAGCTGAGAACTGCAGCTACAAGTAGAGAAAGCCACTGGGTAATGGTTTAAAGAAGGAATATTCCATCTTCTGACCCACAGCGTGGGGCTTTCAAGTGAGGAAGAAGGCTCTCGGCCTTGCTGCCCTTTGGGGACGGTCCCTGCTGTTCCCCAGGAGGGATGACTGGGCCTTGTTAGCAATGTGAGTACCCAAACAACTCCAGAGTAGCAATCTGGCAAGGTGCAGAGCTTCCTTTGGAGCTGTGCTTTCAGTCTCCTTCCCAGCTCGACAGCAGCTGTCTTCTTAGCCCTGCTGCTGCCCCAGAGTCATTTTGGGGCTGGTGACCAGCATAATTCCCCTGCACGCTTGGCTGAGCTGTCCCCACCCCTTTGTAACTGCCTTGTATTGCAGGAAGGGAGTGCACAAGCCTTTGCCTCACTTTTCACATAGCTTTCAACAGCTCCAATGTCATTGCCTAGGCGACCAGGACGCTACTAGATTGTAGTGCAGTAAATAACAGATCCTCAATCCCAGGCCGCTCCTGTCTGCGGGAGACCTCCGGAGGAACTCCAAGTGCCTGGGGAGCCAGAGCAGGTAGGAGAAAAAAGACAAAGGGAAACTCCTTGCGATTTGTGTGTGTGTGTTCCTCAGCACAGACCCTCTCTCAGTTGCTCCGTAGTGCAGCTGGAAGATGATCTGTGGCTGCTTTTCTTTGTGGAATTGTTACTCAGGATTAAAAAATCTTGGATAGATAGCTCCAAAGTGCCTTAGGTCCAGAGTGAAAGCACTTATGGAGGAAAGAGCAGCCTGGAATGGAAAAGCAGAGAAGAGGATGAGCACAGGCAGGATGCTGAGGTGGTTTCTCACTGCCAGGCTCAGCAGGGTCGTGGTGCCTGCTGCAGGGACAGCACCTATCTGTTGACTTCTCTATCTGTCAGAATGGATTTTGGTCTATGCTGTTTTGTTGGTACCTCAGGCTGCTCCAGTGTGTCCTGTTCACCCAGTGCTGATGTTAATATGCTGCTGGACACAGAGATCTGGGTGTGCTGCTGGAAAGCTCACTTACTTTCGGTCAGTTTTGTAAGCAATGTTTTGCATGTGTGAATTTACTAATCAGAGGTGAGTGAGCAAGAGCACTGAGTGTTGTGATCTTGGGATGTGCCAATATTTTGCAAATGTTAACTTGTTGGCTGCAGACTGGATGAGCTGGATGGTTCCCAAAGTGCAGCTGAGGGGAGGAGTGGAGGTGTGGAGATAAGCTCACAAACTGTCAAGCAGAACACTGCAATTTCTTGTGAGAATCAGCAATATCTAACCATTGCCCTTGAAAGTCCCAATCCCAGCTGTGTGTTCTCACTGCAGACCCCACTACTGCGTGGGAAAAGAGTGATGCCTTGTCCAGCATCTCAGCAGTGCAGATTTACAGGCATGTATGGCTTCTTTTGGCTTCCGAGGTCTTCCTCTCTCAGGCTGGGCCAAAGGCCTCTGAAGATTAGAAATAGACCCACTGTACAGACTTGTGTGCATTTATCTCCCATTAAAGTGGCTAAAATTTTTTGTCACATTTCATTCTGGGCTGTTAAGGGTGGCAGGATGGTGGTGAATATGTTGTTACTTGCTGAAATAGCGACAGGCATTTCTAGGTAAAGCTAAGGCTTAAAGTTAATGGTGAGATCAAAGATGCTCCTTGAGACTGCTGAAACTCAGCAGCCAGGCATCACCTCCCATCAAAGCTTCATCCCCCTCTGTATGCATGTGGTACCTTTGTCTCTACCCACTGTGCAATTTCCCTGCAATGCACTAACTAGCAACAGAGGGAAGCAACAATCCAGTGAATGATGGAGATGAGTTGAGAAGGCGTGCAGAGAGGCAGCTCCCCATGTGTAACCAAGCAAATCACATCAGCAGCACTGGCTTCATGCACTGAGCCCCAGGTTTGCATGTTTCAATCTTTCTTCCTCCAAATGCCTGCAGTGAATCAGCCTGATTGCTTTGCTGCAGCCTCCCTTTGGGTCCTGTGTCACAGCCACCACTAAATGTCACCCCAGGCAGTCTTGCTCACCTGAGGCATCTATATTACATAGAGGCAGAAGGGACAGAGGATCCCCTGCTGCACTGCTTAAGAAGCAGATGTGTGTGTCTGGAAGTGCCATCGTGGAAATCCTGATGGTGAAAGTTTGGCTAGAGAATTCTGTGCAGAAGTCAAGGTGTTACCTCCTCAAACTGTGGTGCTGGGAAGAGGTGTTGGGGTGACATCAGGGAGCTGATGCCTTAATGGCAGAGGCTACATATCCTCTGGGCTGATGTGGGAGACTGGGAGTGGCAGAGAGCCTGAATATGCTGCTGCTGTGTTTAGCCTCAGGTTAGTCACCTCCCTGTGCCATTTGCATAGCTGACAGGCACTGGGAGGTAATTTCATCCAAGTCATCTAGTAGTGCTTCCAATAAAGACAGAATTAGTTTATGAGACTCTTCCTGGTTCACCTCCATTTAACCTGTGCCAAGGGCTTCTGCTGGATCACATCTGAGGATGTGATTTCCTTCTGCTGGACTGCCCCATCAGAATGACTGCCCTGCTTCCTTCCCTCACTGATCCTGTAGGATACCTCATTTTAGGGCAAATTACAGACAGCACTGCTGCCAACTTCCAGGAATGCTATTTGCAAAGTTTCCTGCAATTCTCTATCATCTTAAAGGCCAATATTTAGGCTGTCACTATTGGTGCAGGGATGCTTCCCCAGCATGTGCAGCAGTCACTGCATGAGGGAGGTGTGTTAGCTGCACTGGCAGCCCAGCTGCTCTTTGCACCACAGATCCCAAGTGCTCAAGTGTGAATGGACACTGACCTGGCTTTGCCAATGTCAATTTTGTTTTGAAAGAGAAAGGAAACTTCTGAAACGCCCTTAAAATATTCAGGTTTTTTTTTTCTGTTGAAAACGAGTGCAGCCACGTGGTTAGAGCTGGTGTCACCCAGCATGACCACACAGCACGGGGCGGCGCGGAGGTGCTCGCTCTGCTAAAAGAAAAGGCCCGGCTGCATCTTGATGCTACCGATACCCAGGGCCATGGAAAGCAGCATGGAAGCAGGGTAAGGGCCCGAGAAGCCTCACTGCAGCTCTGAGCTTTTCCTTTTCTTGAAACTGCTGCTTCCGTCCTTTCTTTTTCTCTGTTTACACGTGGGATGAGGAGGGATGGGCGGAAGTGAGACTTTGATGAGCTCTGTCTTCAGCTAGAAGTCCTGTGGGGAGCAAAGACTCTGCTGCTGTGCCAAACCCTCCTGGAAGAGCATCTGCAGGTGCTGCATCACTCAGATGAGTCGCAGATGCAGCAGAAACCAGCATGGGTCGGCTTTCGGGACGCCGCCCTGCTTTCACTTTGATGGCTGGTGCTGTGCCTGTTGCTCCTAAGCCACCCGGTCCCCAGCTGACTCAGAGACCATTGAAAGGGCCCTGGCCCTGCAGCTGGTCTCCCCTGAACATCATCATTCTGAGAGCAGCTGCTCCCACCACGAGCGGTTTAAGATTGAAAAGCAGGAAGTTTTCAGGCTTTCGCTATTAGATGTCGGTACCGAGTTGAAACAAGATGGTAACCTTTGTGTGAGTAAAAAGGGGTAACCGGAGTGCAGCTGGGGTGCATAGGTGTTAGGAAGGGCAGGGTGGCAGCCCCTGCAGCTCTGGGGAGCGAGGGGCCAGGGAGGAGGAGGATGAGGGCAGTCGCATGGTGTGGCTGCGAGCGCATGCTGACCAAGATGGCTGCAGCCCAGCTCTCTGCAGCATGCTGCCTTTTCTTCCGGGGGCTTGGGGAGGCACAAAGGAAAGATCACAGTGTTCTCAGTGCTCTGGTGCTTGAAGGAAGACAGAAAACTGGGGGTCTTTGGGCTCTCTGTAGCTCATAGCACATTGCAGCTGATCTAAGCTCGCTCTCAGATGGCGCCTCTCCGTGCTGTCCTATCAAGTTTTGTCATGTACCATCACCCCATCCACCCATCATTCACCAGCCTTGCTGAGGAGGGTTTCCCCATTCCCCTCCTGGTGCCGGGCTGCTGAGCATAATCTCAGGGGAGCAGCACCAAGCATCTTTTTGGTTCTGATTCTCACTGCAAGACTTTATTCGCCAACTAACTTTGTGTTTCAGTTTTGTTCAGAGACTTCCTACTCAAGAATTCAATGTTGTTGTCTGAGAGATCTAAGCCCTTTACTGAATGAACCTGGTTCAAAATGATTACTAAGAATAGTTCTCAAAGGGTGGAAGGGGCTGTGGGTAGCAGTGCTGAGAACTGCTGGAGCGTGCTGTAAACATTTCAGATGGGAACCCAGTGTCACAGAATTAGCATTGAGCAGAAATGGGCTGACATCTTAGAACCCTGCCACTTTGGCCCTTTCCAAAATACCCACATCTTTGTAAGATTGGAGACGATGGAAGTGGTGTCATCACCTGGAATATCAGCATTAAAGAAAGCACCTGCAGCCAGAGGTCTGTTGCAGGGACACTTCTGGGATCCCAATGGGAAATGTCCCAGCAGCCCAGAAAGCTCCTGCACTTTGCTGACCTGAGTTTGGGCACCAGTAAAAAACAGGAGGGAATGATATTCTGTGACATGGTTTTGTAACACAGCATTTGCAACCTGTGTTATCATAATCTGAGTTCAGTGCAGCTGACCTGGGTCTCTGTGTGTGTTGCAGGAGTAGAGCAGTGTAAATGCTGCATTCGATCATCCACTCCATTCCTGTGCTGAACAAATAAAATACCTGCATATCCAGGTCTTTAAGCTGCCAGGAAAAAGGAGACATTTTGTTTGCACTCTACAACGCTAACTTTGTTGTTTTTCTTTGTGCCTAGAGTGATTTATCCTTTGCCAGACTCCCCCTCTGTGAAGATGTCCCAGTCCTCTCCTGCTGATGAAAGTACAACATTTGAACACCTCTGGAGTACACTGTAAGTGTCATTTGGTCATGTGTATTGAGGCAGACGTGCCTCTTTGCCATGAAATCTGTATTAGCACATCTAATCAATATGACATGAAGGGACACTAGCATCTTTCACGTGCACCAATTTTCACATGTTCCTTTCCTGCATTCAGAATTGTGTTCCCAGGCTCTGAGCTGCCAAACTACTTCGCCTCGATGATGCTAGCCAGCCAGAAGCTGGAAATTTTGCATACACTGAATGCAGGGCCCCACAAAGTAGTTCCCAGGTTTTGGAAACTTTCTGAGGGTTGTGCAACCATCAGCAATTTCAATTTCCATCATAAATGCAAAGGAATGAACATAGCAAAGGGCCCCATTGCTGCTGCACTCTTGCACATCAGAGGTCAGCATCTGGGCACACTTTTTGTATAAGAAAGCAAAGGTCAGCAATGCCTCTGCAGTTATTGTGGGAGAGGAGACACCAACTCATCTTTGCTGCAAGGGGAGGAGGCCACGTGCAGTGTTGTGCCTGCTGGGAAGCTCACTGCCCCAGCAGCACAGCATCAACCCTCACCCATGCCCATGTAACACTGCACACTGTGGAAGGGACATCCACCAGCAGTAACCACCAGAACCAACAGCCGACCAGCCTGGGCTGGGCATGGCCAGTTTTCCTGAACTGTAGCCCTTGTTGCTGGCGCAGGCTGCACAGGAGAGCTGGAAAGCTGACCATCTGCCATTGCTTGCTCACAGGGCACCAGACAGCACCTACTTCGACCTCTCTCCATCCGCTCATACAGGCAACAATGAGGTCTCCAACCGCACAGAGATCACAATGGATGTCTTCCAGATGAGAGGCATGAATGACTCTGTTATGGTGAGTGTGCTCAGACTACAAGTGAGAGATACATCAGATACAAACTTGTTTTTCTCCTAGTGATTGAGTGGCTTCAGGGTAGGAAATGGAACTTACTTATTCATAACTCAAAACAGAAACACTAAAGATGCAAAGCTGCCATCGTTTGGTTCAGTGTCCAATAACCTGTAATAAAATGACTGTAGTGCAGTTTTGCAGTCATATGGTACAGTAGTTGGTAAAATAGTGGCTACATGTTAATACATTTTGCTGGACTCTCCTCCTGTTTGGGAAGGGCTTTTAAAGACAGAGTCTTTAAAATTACTCAATTTGAAACAGCACTGAGACAATGCACTAGAAATAACCCCCTCAAAAAGACCAGCTTGCTGTCTCTTCTGAAAGCCAAAGGCCTGGTTTGCACAGCACACAGTAACTACAGCTCATCTGGCATCAGGATCTCCCTCTGCCCAGACAGGCATTAGAAATCCACTAGCAGGCATCCTCAAGGCAGCGTGAGCCTCTATGATGCTCCCAGCATTAATGCTCCTTCCCCAAGCAGCCTGGCCTCCCACCAGCATCCCTTCAACATGCAGCAGCTCTGGCCATTTCAGCATCTCCCTCCACAAAGCCCACTTCGCTCCTCGCCAGCTTGCCTCCCCTCCCCCAGCCTCTTTTTCCCTCGCTTTTAGCTCACTTTCCCTCTCTAGCCAGGCCTTTGTTTGCAGCGGGGCAGGAGCCTGGCAGACGGCTCAGGTGGGGGCTGCAGTGTTAATTGCAGAGCTTCCAATTGCTGCAGAACTGAAGCCCCCTTCAGCAGGAGCCTGGTGCAACCAGGCTGTTCCCACAGCGTGCCAGGGCTGGGGGGCTTGCAGGGGTGAGGGAGCTCAAATTAACGATCCAGGAGTAAATATTTATATCGATCCCATTGTGCAACTCAACACTGTGCTGCTAAGCTCAAAATGAGCTGAGCGTAGCTTTTGCTAGCTGTCATCACCAAAACACATGGCAGACTGACATGTATGAAAACAAATAAACAAATAATGTGAGCTACTCAGAACAACAGCCACCCTTATTTTTTTTCTTAAAGATGCCAGCTTCAGCTCATGCAGTACTTAAAGCTTGACTTAGGATGCTGCTCTGACCTCTTTGTGCTTGGGTCCGTGCACACAGGGTAGAGAGGCAAGTGATGCACACTGCCTACATCTTTGAAAATATGATCCACTACTCTCTGAACTGCCCATCTGCTCCAGTATGCAGACTTGCACAGTGGTGTCTGGCTGAAGCAAAGACCTTTCAGCCCTCTGCCCTGAGTTAGGAGGAGACCTGACTGACTGCAGGCTTTGTGCTTCCAACCTCGTGCCCTGCTTCCAGCCAGCAGTTCAGTAAGCACCTCACCTTCTTAGATTTTTTTTTTAAAAAAAACAGATCATCTCTCAATGAAACAATTAAATCCAGTGAAGAAAGGTGGGATGACAGAGAGAAAAAGAGCATTTGTTGCTGGATTTTCATGTGACACTGGGACACGGGTGGCTACCTGGTCTCCAGGAATTTTTGTCAGTGAGACCTCCAGTAGCATTTAAGCCAGGGTAGCTCCAGTCCAAGCTGTTCACATGGTTTGTTATTGCCACTGATACGCAGTGGGAAAGATTCCCCCAGCCTGGGGTGAATAGAGGGACAGAGTGGTGCTCTTAGAGCTTCAAGTGAGAACTGGAACGATCTCAGGGTCACTGCATCAGCACGGCCACCTCAGTCTGCAGGTGAAGGGTGCCGATCAGGTAGGTTTTGAGTCCAGCAATGCTGCAAGCAGCTTTCTGGAATTAAATCTGGCTGGGTTTAATTGCAGAGTAGGACCCCCGCTCTCCCCTTGGTGGGACTGGCTGGTGCAGCCTCGTCCATCACTGGGCAAGCTGGGGCCTGCCCTGCATTTTAATGAATAGTCATGAGGGACAGAAAGGGGTGGGCCCCGTTTTGTTGTTGGATGCAGCTAGTTGACAGAACTAAGGGAGATGAAAAAGGCAAAAAAGCCAACAAACCGCACGCAGGTGGCCAGTGCTGCATCCCTGGCACTGCCTGCCCAGTCCTGCACCTCATGCTCCAGCACTGCGTCTCCCTGGTTGGCTCCATCTCCTCCTGACCCCATGACTCCTCTGCCGGGACAGTTCCCACTTGTCTGTAAATCCCAAGAAGACTAAAATGTTGTACATCAGTGACCCGATGCAGCATTATACCACGGTAGGTGCTACTCTTTGTTAATGGTCTTACCTCGTTGCTTCTTGCTTGTGCCTGCTCCCTGCCACTGCAGCAGGAGCTCAGTTTGTGTCCTGGCTCTGCTTCCAAGCCGTCACACTGCTGCCTGGGATGTGCTGGGGATGCACTGGACATAGTGCTCCTCTGTATCTGAGGCACTTGGCAGCTCAAAGAAAATGAACTGTGCCTACCTAGGATTGTTGCAGCTTCACTAGCTCAGTCCATGCTTCTTTCATGTTTCGTCTGCTCCTGTGTTGCGCTCTGCAGAGACCTAGGCACGATTTAAACCTTTCATGTAAGCAAGCACAGGCTCTCTGTCTTCTTTGTACGTGCAAATTGTACACGCTTGCATTGGAGAAACCTGGCTGAAGGCTAAGGGAGTTGTGAGCATCCCTCGGTAGAAACACTGCCTGCCAAGCCCAGCTTAGTTTTCTCCTCAGACCTTCTCAAGCACAAGGACTGCAGTTCCTGACAAGCACCCACATCCCCAAAGCAGCTTTGCCTTTCCTGGTTTAAAGCTGCTGGGAGGGGCGGATGCAATGGCACCTGTGCTTGCAGGTGATGTAGCCTCAGCTCTGTCCTCAAGTGGTGAGATTGCTTTCTTAGTCAGAAGCCTTTTGTGTCAGCTTTCTGGCATTCAAAAAATTTAGATGCAGATGTAGTTACTGATAGAAGGATGCACTGGTGTGCTTCCCAACCAGAAATTATTTGATTTCTCCTGTTTGTCATACACAAGTAGTGAAAACCACACATGTACTGTGTTGCTCTGCGCTGTAGTGCTGCTGCTTGAGATGTCCTTTCTGCAATCATGTGCTTATTGATGTGTGTGTATAAACACATGTATATATTTGCACGCATACATACACAAGCACTGTGTTGGATTTGACAAACATACAAACACTCTTGCTTGGATTTGTCTGTTAAGGGAATACTTCCAAAACCTCCTCAATCTTAAAAACCAAGTCAGTCATTGTACACATAGCACTTGGCTCTGAGTATCGCTTCCAACAGGCTTATAAATCCAAGAAACTGGGGCCTTTGCCTGTTGCTTTGTAACCCAACTGTGCTATGAGCAGGATAAATCATAAAACATGCAGAGAAACATGCAGTGTTAGTTGGGGTGAAGAAAGTCTGAAATGAAATTTCCTGTAATTTACAAAGGCTGGCTTTCCCACCTTTGGATGCCCTGAGCATCAGCTGCCTTGAATGAGTCTGGTTCATGTGTTTCAGGTGATAAGAGAAAGCACTCTTTTATGTCACGTACAACTTCACTTTAACAGAAATGACTGAGTGCTGTTCCAGGCTGGGGTGCTGCTCATGGGTCTGCTGTGAGGTTTCTGGTTTGAAAAGGGAAGTCTCTCTCCCATAGGGTGGTCATGATGCTCTGCTCAGTTCATCAGCCTTGATTCAGCCTTCCACTGAGCTCCATTGCCACGCACCTCAGCCCCGCACAGCCCCAGCTCTAAGCACTGTAATCTCAACACATCCCACCAGGACTGCTTTTTGTTTTTTTTTTTCCAGGGGACACCTCACCCCTCTCTGCACTGCGGCTCTGGAGCAGATTTCTGTTAGCAGATTTCACCAGGAGGCAAAATGCTTCCTGTTTATTTCCCATTTTGACAGGATATGAGTAACTGGGACGGCACCCGCTCCTGATGTGCCTGACAGTGCAAACCCAACCTGCTTTTGTCTGACTGTGCCCTTACGTGTGCTACGGCAAGTCTGAAACTCAGCTTGTTTGCTTGTCGAGTGAGGAACGCTCGCTTCCCATTTATTCCTAAGAAAACACCCATGGCTGGGTACAGGGTGTGTGCAGAATGTTCCCTGAAGCCTTTCCGTTGTCCCAGTCATCACAAGAGAACAAACCTGCTCAATCTTGATATTCATGGATTCTTTGAGCTGTGGAATGGCTGTGCTGCCGTAACGAGGACAATCCTTTTCTCCTTGAGGATCTCTTCTCATGCGATGCTTTACATCTCCCACCCAGCTTCCAGCCAGTGTCACCATCAGGGCTGCGTGTCCCCGAGGTCCCTGCTGGCAGCTGGCTGTGGTGGTGTGGCCGTGGCTTCCCTCCTGCATCCCTAAATGCCATTTTGCTGAAGTTTCTCATGGTTTTTTCTCCTGGTAAAATCTGGGTTTGTGGAAAGCCCGGATGGGGGTTGTTTAGCAGGGCTATTTATAGTGCGGCAAGAAGAAATAGAGGGGTTTATGCACATATTCTAGGGGACAAAATGGCTGTATTTGTAAGAGCAAGTCGGGTCTTGTTCAGCATTCCTCCAGTTAGTTACAGACTCCAAGAACCTTATGATAGATGCAGACAACAGGAGAACTTTCCTGCAGAAGGGTGATTGCGTTTAAGCCATTATACCTCGCACGCGTTTGGGTGAGGTGTGGATCCCAAGTTAAAACATGTCTCCTGATTCCTGAGTCGTGAGCCTTTCAGCCTGCAGCCTTCCCAGGGAGCAGGCACATCCCCAGCCTGCTGCTGTGTCCGGCTCACACCACGCTGCCCACCAGGCTTCCCAGAGCTGCTCAGCAGCTGATGGCACAATCCCCACCGTGCAGGGGGACGGGTGCAGGTGAGAGCAGGGTGGGATGTCCCAGAGGGGATGCAAGCAGTGATGCACTGACACAGGAAAATACGCAGAAAAAAGGAAAAACAAAACAATTGGCCTGATTTTCAGATGAAAGATGAAGGCTATTTTAGCCATGCTACTTTTGAGAATGCAACTTTGCGTAGGCAGTACCCACAGATGAAAGTGCTGCTGGTTCTTATTGGAAATATCTGATAATCACTGTTCAAAAAAGGAATAATGAAAAAAAATAAGGAAAGCAAGATTTTGGCTCGGCACTTTGGAATAAGAGCCAGTAGGTGTATAAATGAGATGTATAAATGCTCTGTGACCTTATTTGCAGTGTGCTGCATCACAGCCGTGCACTTTGTAGTTTGAGGTTTTCCCCACATTAAACTGACATCAGTGAAAGCCACTGAAAGCAAACACCCCAGCTATGAAACGAATTACACAAACCACCATTCAGATCTGGTTCTTCGTATTCGTGGAAGGGAACTCCTTCCAGAAATGGCACCCACATGTACATTTGTGATAAGTGAACGAGTGCAGAAAAAGTCTGATTTGGAGTAATGCCATCACGATGGTTGCAATCTGCTAGCAAGCAAGGCAGGAGCTCTGGGGTTTGAGGTACTGACTGGCATTTGGGGCATGTTGTCAGGGTGCTGAGGTGAGCTGGTGGTCATGCTAACATGTAACAGTGTCTGCAGGGGCTGCACTGCTGCCTTCTGTTCTATTGCAACTACAGCTTTTTCTGTCTCTGCTCTAGGGCTTTGAATTCTGCTTGAATTCTGCAGCTTTTCCAAGTGGAAAGAGCACTCTGCAAAACCAACATTTCCATAAAGATCTCTGGAGAGCTGCAGGCGGGAGGCATTGCACCAGCCTGGGCTGCGCAGAGCAGATGCTGCATTGCATCCACGGCTGGCAACATCAGCAACTGCCACCAACTCAAGTGCTCAGTGCCACGCAGGATGCAGAGCTGTGGCTGTGGGGTGCTCACCTGGGGATGCCAGGCTGCTGCTGTGCTTGAGCTGCTTTGTGGCAGGGATGATGTGGCGTTAGAGTGGAGGTCAAAGCCTTCCTCCTTCTGTCTTCTGGATAGAAGACCTCTCCTCCACACTGGCCGCCAGCACCCTCAGTTCCAGGCTGAGCCCAGAAGCACAGGGTCAGTTGGTCAGTTCTCCGGTGACAGTTGTGGTTGGTACCCGTGCTACCTCTGCCCTGCGTGAGGTCTGGCCACAGGCTTGGCTGGCGTTATCAGTGCTGTGAGGTCTGGCACTGAGCAGTCCTTTACTGGAAATTGGTAACACTGATGAGGCTGGTGAGGTTCCAGGAATTTGCTGAGAACCAACCTGCTTCGCTTCAGGGAAGAAAAGAGCCTTCCTGTGGTCGTGTGTGCAGTGCCGTGGTCATCGCTCCCCCTCAATGCAGTAGGACTTTTCCCACATCTTAGCAAAGCTCAAAAAAACTCAGGTCTGTTCCCCCTACTTGCAAAAGAATTGTTTTGCATGTCAAATGTGCTAGAAACCTGGGGATCTTGGCATCGTGCTGCCTCCAGTGAGGGTGAAGTTGATAAAAGGGGACGACTTAAATGTATTGAGTTTATCCTTTACACAAGTGGTGACCTGTTTAAAAAACAAACCAACCCAGAACAACTATTTTGGTTGACTTTCCAGCACGCTGGCCCTTTAAGGAAGCTGTAACAGGACACCTGAAGTCCTGAAGAAGTGTAGCTGAGGTTTCCATGTCTCTAAACTGGCTGGTGTTTTCTTTTTTTCCCTCCTCCCCTTTTCCCTTCCTCCAGTCCCAGTTTAATTTGCTGAACAACAGCATGGATCAGAGCATCGGCAGCAGAGCAGCCTCCACCAGCCCTTACAGCTCCGAGCACACCTCCAATGTCCCAACGCATTCACCCTACTCGCAGCCCAGCTCTACCTTCGACGCCATGTCCCCAGCTCCTGTCATCCCCTCCAACACTGACTACCCAGGTCCCCACCACTTTGAGGTGACCTTCCAGCAATCCAGCACAGCCAAGTCAGCCACCTGGACAGTAAGTTGCATGTGTTCTTCAGTTCACTAGTGAGATGCTTGCTATTGTAGGCAGTGTTTTCAGCCAGGCTGCCACAGACACGTGTGTGCCTGGGTGCTGGTGGTGTTGGGATGCTCAGGGAATACTGGTGTGTGGCACTGCAGGATGTGTGGTTCTTGCACGGCCACCACTGGTGGGGGCTTTGCCTGCACAGGTGACCATGATAAGAAAAAGCAGGCAGAAACACCTAATGCTTTCTTTTAAGGCTGTTTGTTGTTGCTTGTTTGATCTTGTTTAGTTTAGGTTTTTTTTTCCAAATGGGTTAAACACAGTGATTTGAATATAATCTCTGCTGCAGAAATTCCATGGACTACATGTAAATGTCCCTGAAGATCACAAAGCTGGAAAAATGTGCAGGGAGAAGTGCCTGCCTTGTTCTCATGGTGCTTCCCAAAGCATTTTCCAGTGACTGCTGTCAGAGGTGATGCAGCAGGCGAGATGAACCGCTGCTCTGTTCTGTTGGGGCCATTCTTAGCTTTGCTTTAACTTCTTATTTTCACTTTTAATCCTCTTTTATGCTGTATCAGAAGAGTAATGTTACCTCTAGAAGCCACAGCAAATTAACAGAGTACATATTTATTTACAAAGAAATGGCTACACGGCATCATGCATGCCATGTGGGCTCAGTACCTGGTACTCTGGGGTACTGTTGGTCTTCTTGTGTGTCCACAGACAGACAGAGGAGTCCTCTGCTCTAATCAAGAATTAACTTGAGCATTGTACAGCTGCTTTTCTTTTTGTGGGAAAAAGTCCTGAAGTCACAGGCTGGCTCCTGGATGTGTGTGACTGTATTTTTAACTCACATCACTTGTGGCTGTAGTTGAAGGCAGTTCTGCTGTGGAGGTTTCCCTGCTGCATGGTGGTCACCTCCAGTCCTCATCACTGCCATTTGAATGTCTCCAAGAGCTCTTTTCAGATATGCTTGTGGCTTTTCTTTTCCGTGGAAGAATGTTTGCAGAGCAGAGAGGCTGTGATGAGACAGGTGACACAAAGAGGGAGTAACAGGGTTTCCTCTGCTGCTGTCATTTGACATTATCACGGTACAAGCAGAGCTGTCCAGGAGTAATGTGTCAGCCCAAGGTGTGAGAATGACTTGTATTTTTGGAAGCTGATGTGCTTAATTGTTAAGAAAGTCCTTTCCATAGTAGACAGAAAGTGTCTTGGGATGCTTTTCTGCAGACTGAGCCCAGGACACGGCGGGCTTACAGCGCTGCGGTGCTGGCGTAGGAGCTGCACATGTGCTTTGTACTGAGGGCATAAGAGTCTGCAGCAGTGCCGTGGTCTGTCCGAGCTGCAGTTCCATGTGAGATGAGTTCTGCAGCCAAGTGCTGCCCTTCAGGCACTGTTTGCTCCTGGTGCTGCAGGGACAGTGACACCCAGGCAGGGTGAGGAGTCCTCATCCCTACTGTGAGGGCAGGCAGCACAGCACGGCGCCGTGCAGCTTCACGCTGACAGCTCGGCTCACTGCAGCACAGCTCAAGCAAGCTGCTAGAGAGCTCACATTTAAATTGAGATCAATCAGTGGCCGGGGCTGAAAAGCAGTTTCCCTGTGTCTGGTCCATCAGCTCCAGCCCTCACTGCTGACATGTGCTGACCGATGGTTGGGATGAGCACCATGATCAGGTACAGCTTGCCTTCCTAGGAGTGGTTGGTCCGGCACTCTTTGTCACCGTCTTTCCTTGCAAGATATTGCTAAATGATGCATTTGTTAGGTTTTAACTAAACTGAAGGTCTTCTGGATAGGATGTGACTCTAGTCCACTCTTGCACATGTTGGGATAACTCACATCAGTTAAATGTAAAGCCGCATAGGAACTGCACAGGAAAACAGGCATTCCCGTGCCACAAAAACCACAGAGGCACACAGAGAAAGGAGCAGATGTGGCCACAGGACAGACGTCCTGCTGAAACCTCTGGGGCAATGCCAGCCAGATAGGTAATGAGTCGAAGGAGGAGGCACACTCCTTGGTGTGATTTTGAAAAGTGAAGCATCTGAATGGAAGCCAAAGGCACAGCAGTGTGGTGTTTCTCGTCCCAGCTGTCCTGTTACAGAGGGAAGAGACAGGGAAGTGTCAGATGCTTGCTGCTGTCCCTGGCTGGACGTTACTGGGAGACAGCTGTGTGATGGCGTGGGCACATCTGTGGGGCAGGGTCAGGCTGGGTGCTGCAGGATACCCTTGGGCAGCACGGAAAACAGGATATGTTTGTGCACGTTTAGTATGGAGAGCACCTATTAAAAATACATTCTGTGCTCACCTTTAATTAGCAGTAAGGAAAGACCCTTCCTTTATCCCAGCTGCATGTTGCAGCTGCACGGAGTAAATCACAAAAAGCCACAAAGGTGGCTGGTTGTCCCCAGAACACCAAAGGAGGGAGCAGCAGGAAGCCCCCGGAGCCCATCCCACACGGTGAGCACGCCATGCTGGCATCTCTTGTGAGCTGCAGTGTCCTTGGTGGGGATGACATGTCCTGCTGCTGACTGCATCCCAGGCCACAAGTGCCCCATCACTTCTGGGGCAGGCTGCTGCTGTTTCTGGAGGAGAGATTCAGGCATGTCCCAGTTCAGCTGCTGAAGCTGCACTGGGCATCACCCACACAGTGCTGCCTCCTGCGCAGAGCCTTCTTGCAAGCACAGGTTGCTCTCCAGACAAGGAGTACTGGTTCTATTCACTGGGAGACAGCAAGCATACAGTCCAGCTCCTGATATTGCAGAGCAGTGGTAAGGAATCAGGGATCTTTCTTGACTAACCAAACTGAGCCCTGACTATCTCAGCATCGCCACGTGCTGTCTGCAGCCCCGTAGCTGTTGTGTCTTTCTGCTGGGAGCTGCACTAGTCAGGAAGGGGTTGCTTTGATTCTCAAGCTGTTGCATTAAGATCTCCTTTGGATACTGGAGCAGCCATGCCACATCAGTTCTGAGCAAACCCTTCTAACCCAGCACCTTGGGGAAGTGGCCAGACTCAGGACACCCTTGGCCAATATGCTGTGGCAGCCTCCCATGCTGCAGAGAATGCAAGCCACCAGCCAGCACCAGGAGCTGACATTTCAGAGCACCAGACCAGGCTTCACTGCACCACTGCTGAGCCTCACAGAGAACAGGAGTGTGCCAACAGCACCTTGCATCTTGGAGAATGTGGGTAATGGTTTGAGACAGCCACCATCAAAGGACTTTTAAAGGGCTGCAGACTGCCCAGGTCCCCGAGGTGCTGCCTGCACAATGAGTGGTCCTGCAGAAGTGACAGATTTACAGATTTGCTCCCACTTCTGTCCTATCTGTGCAGCAGCCTGGAAGACGGGGCTGCTTGCTTCCTTCCTCCCTCTCAAAGTCTGCATTAAAATTAGGCTGTTTGAAAATCTGTCCTGGCTGAAGGATGAAATTATTTTAGCAAAACATCACATATTATATACTGTCCATCAGGCAACATACAAATAATGATGTACATACACAGCACGGTTCTCTGCATGAATTAAGAGCACAAATCTAGAAACGTGCAAATAATAATGGGAAAACTGTTAGGAAATACAGGCACTTGTCAAAGAAAGCTGAAAGTTGTGAGCAGTGGAGGACAGTGGCATCTTATGGCTCAGTAATGGTCCAGTCTTTGCTGAGAGAAGCTGAATTCATGATCTGGGTGTGCTAAAGGACGTGCCTGGTTTATTCCTGCAGTTGAAAAGAAACAACTGTAAAATACACTTCTTATTTCATCAGTAGCTTTTGAGTATTTTAAGATTCACTGCACCAAGTGCACTAAGCAAGTTGCAAGCACTGACCATGAATTCCCCTGCATGGCTTCGTCCTCCATCATTTCAGAGCTGAGGGGTGCCCTCCGCTGTGAACGCAAGCCTCTGGTGGATCAGCAGCTCCATCAGCCTCTCAATTTGGGGCTGAATCACCAAGACTCCAAGCAACAAAGAACTGGCCGTGCTCAGGCAGTGCCAAACAAATAGTTCAGTACAGGCAGTCTTGTCAAGTGATTTGATGTAGTTTTTTGATACATAGCACGTAGCCTAACAGACTCCTATTTTTGAAGGCTTTTGCCTCTGAAGGATATTCTCTGGGAAACTCAGTGTTGTCCATTCTCAGCAATGATAAGTCAGCTGGAAAACAAACTGTAGCAGGAATTCATATCCCGTGTTGCAGGGTTCCACGGAACCCTACCACGTGGTTACCCATGGGTTTGGAAATACATACATTAAAGTTGATTAAGTCTGCAGCTCAAGCAAATGATGATAAACAATCTTTTAATAACGCGAGGTGAGACATTAACCGAGTGAATGAGGCTCCCCATTTAGGAAAGGAGGCTCCTGCAGGCTCCTTGGGCTCATGGCTGGGGAACCATGAGGACATGAGTGCTCAGCACAACGGTGTCACTGTGGCTGGGGGAGCTGGGCTGCCTTCACAGACAGCACTGCCCAGACCACTGCCGTGCTGTGTGTGCAGCTCTCATGTCCACACTTCAAAAGGTTGTTGACAAAATAGAAAGGGGTTGGGAGGGAGATCCAAAGAAGATGAAAGATTTGGAGCAGATGCCTTGTAGAGAGATACCAAAGAAATGCATGGCATTAAAGGTCTCCTAGAGAAGAGTAAGGGTGGCTTGATCACAGTCTGCAAGTACCTGCATAGGAGATGGTTTCTGATAGCAGACAGCTCTTTAATCTAATAGAAAAAGACATAATGAGATCCAGTGCTTGGAAGATGAAGCCAGGCAAATTCAGACTAGAAACACAGTGTAAATTTTTTTTTTTTAAACAGTGAGGATAATTAACCATAGGAACAATTTACCAAGGAATGTGGTGGATTCTCCAACTCCTGAAGTATTTAAGTTAAGATTCTACCTATCCTTTTAAAGATAAGCTGTACTTCAAGCAGGTACCATTGGCTCAATCCAGGACAAGAAGGTGGGGGTCTTAGACTTAGCAGTGTAGAAAATCTAAGATCAAAATCTGTTCTTTCCAGCCTTC